GATTTCAATAATATTTTAAGACAAAAAACTAGACATATGAATCATCATTTTACTTTTTACAGATTTGATCTAGCTCTTCTAGTTTAGGCGTAATCACAAATGGCGCGCGGACAGATTTTGTTGACTGGGTATGTAATTGTGTTTAATAATGTGAGTTTTACAATGGTGATAGTTTATGGTTGTTGTTTATTATTACCGAGCGCGTTTAGCCAAAACAATATTAAAATTGTGTAGTTCATGTTTAATTTAATTAATGTTATTTATAAATAACTGTAAACAATAAAATTAATACAAAAGTTTTGTTTTATTAATAATATATAATATTATTAATTAATACAATAATTTTGTAATATAACCCATAACTTTAAAATATACTTTTTTAAAACAATATAAGATTACGTTGTTATATAAAACCTGAAAAAGTTATTTTATCATATTATAATTAGCAAATAACATTAAACATCACGAGTGCAATTAAATATAACTCATATTGTTATATTTTAATACCACCATGCTCAATAAAATAACGCTTAAGGGGCAAGAATTGATTGACATTTGTATTGTAAAGCCGTTTAACAATATCGCGATCCGGGAATTCCCGGCGCGTATCGGGACTCAGGAAAAGTAATATTGTAAACATACGGTAAACTAACATAAAACACTTAAACTGACTCAGCATATAGTCGGCCGTATTATACGGCTTAGTGGCCCACTGGGAACCATACAGTTGGACACTCTCCTGGCGATAGACCTGGATGAATTGTCTCATTGCCGGTTCGGCCGTAAACTCAATTTTACCATCAGCGGTTATTTCTACGGTGGGCATAAAAAACTGACCAAGATCGTAGCCACGGTTGCCATACGTGGAGAACTCAAAGTCAATCATCATTGCCTTCTCTCCCGGTGCCGATCCCTCCACCCCCTCCTCGTCGGTGACCATAATATTATTGAACTTAAGGCCGTTGTGCGAGAAAACCAACGGTCCGTCAGACCACTGGCCACGGATGCAGTCAATGAAGCCATTGAATCTCTGCTCTCAGGTCAAGGGTCGGCTCCCGGAGCTGACAGCCGTACTCGCGGAGCACAGCCTCTAGCATAGCGTTAACTTTATCGCCCGATTCGGTCAAAAACTGCTCAAAATAGTTGCAAATCCAGTCCCGATCCCGACCTACCGGTGCTTTTAAGGCGTGAAATCTGGCCAATTGTCGGGCCAACCCAATCATCAATCGCTTGTCATTGATGTCACTTTTAGCAAAAATCCGGTGCTTAAATACCGGAGCACTTCGCCGTCGGGGTCGAGTCCGTACACATGAGATCCTAACCCTATATGAGAAGTTATGGACATCACAATCGGGTCGTTGAGTTGGGTGACCGATCTTAAAGTCATACTTCCAGCCGTAGTATTTGACAATTACTTCCCGGGGCTGTGGTTCATCATCAACAGCGCCGGTTACCGGAGCTGCGGGTGATTTGAGTTGACATAAGTATAGATGTTTAGTGCGTGCACCGGACACCGGCCGTACCCGCACGTCAGCGCCGGTCGCTGTCGACCAAATGCCGGCCAAATAGCGTCGGCATAATTGTATGCACTTATCGTTGATATCGTGGGAACCGCTGTATATTTTTGTGGCCGATGTTTGTGTCGGTTCGACCATATTTTTCGCCCCCTTTTCATTCATTGTAATTAGTGTGGAATGTAGTTTGGTCAGTTTATTGTGACGATATTTGCAGTTATAGCAATATAATTATTATGAATTTACAGATGGTGTTATTTAAATGGCAGATGTTTTTCTATCAATATTAGGTAATTGATTATTAATTTTTTAAGTATATTACTCTAGAAATATTTAATTTTAATAAATGAATCAATATTGAATTAGTCAACCCATGTCCCGAAAATCTGCGGGCACTGATCTACCCAGGATTCATTATTCCTAATGATTTATTATTTAGCGATATTAAGGCTGCTGGATTTAATTTAATTAAACAATCTTGGTAAATTTAACTTGGATCTGTTTTTTAATAATGATTATTGTAGTTGTGATTTATTACATTTCATTGAATATTAAAATAAAACTAATAATGAAATTTTGACTTATTTAAACTGCCTATCACATTGTATAATTATTACATTGTCCTACTTACAATAAAAGTAAATAGAAGCTTTATATTACACAATAAATTTATTCTACTAAAGCAAATAAATTATTTGTTGTTTTTTAAATCAATAAGCTAACTCACAATTAGTCTACAACTAATAAGTTTATAAACAATAAAAATAGTTATTATCACATATTTTAAGACATGCTATGTTATTAAATCATAGGTATCCAATGGTTTCCGCTTATTATCACAATTGTTATCACTATTTTGTATTAAGAGTGTTAATTAGTTATATACGCATTTTATATTATTTGCCACACCTAAAAATTATTGAATTAACTAATTAATAATAGTGTGAATTAGTGAAAGTATAATTATAAAATATTTATATTAAAATATATATTAAACTATTCAATTAAAAAAAGTAATAATGTGTGAAATTATATCAAAATTTAAAATATGTGACAAAATCCCCGATTTGGCCAAACAAGAGATAAAACTGCTGCACGTCTTCGACACCCTCTCCACCCAGAATTGCGGAAAAAACGTCATATACTTAACCAATGAGGACAAGGCCTACGGTTTGGGTGACAACACTAACGGATGTCTTGGCATAGGGCACAGCTTAGAGGTTAAATTACCAGAGATTATACCGAGACTGTGCGGTCAACAGATCCAATACATAGTAACCGGCAACATGTTGGGACTGGCAGTGACTAATGAACACTCAGGTCAGGGAATATTAAGTTGGGGACAAAATACGAAAGGCCGGTTGGGACGACCCATAAACACCGGGCAAATTAACTTTGTCAGTTTTTTACGAGTGATTGGATCTTATTGGATCTCTAGGGATTTCTGGACACCCGATGTAATCCCATATTTTATAAATAAACAAATACGCGCAGTGAGTCTAGGGCAAGATCATGTACTGGTGCTCACTACCGATGGCCGAGTGCACGGGTGGGGCAGTAATAGTATGGGGCAAATTGGTTGTGGCCAACGATTAGGCCTAGAGATTAATGAACCGATCGAGTTGGATTATTTTACGGATCATTATGACATCAACATGATAAACTGTCACAATAGTTGCTCGTTTGCTATCACAACTGAAGGCAAAGTGTATAGCTGGGGTACAAATAGCACCCGGCAATTAGGCCATAACATATCAAACACAATAGTATACAGGCCTCGATTGGTCGCGTGTTTATTAAACATTAGAAGCGTGACATGTATGGGTATTACCACGTTCTTCCAGTCATCCACAGGTTGCATATATTATTGTGGTGAATATAATCAAAATGGCAATGATGTATTGGAGTTAGCACCCAAACTACTACACATTAAACGTGATATCCAGCGCCTACCTATGCTAAACATGATCAACCATTCATCCAGCTATATTTGTATTGTGACTAATAATAGAGTGATTAAAATTTCGAAATCACTCGAAATTACTGAAACTATTTATACACATTTTGTCGACTTTTACGCCACAGAATTGCAATTAACTTACAATACATTAGATGTACAGAATTTATATGACAATGAATTGAAATCTGAAGATTTATTAATACCAATAAATATTCAAAACAAAATAATTAGCAATCAAAATAATGCTGGTAAATATATTTTCTAAATATAGCTTAAAACTCTGTTATAAAATATAATGTATGAATTAAATTAATAAATATATCTATTTTGTAACATCAAGGCACAAGTAAAAAACAATCAAATCGATCCAGCTCAATATCACAAACACAGACAACACCCGTTTTGATGAACATGACTAGTCAATATGAAGGTATATCATCACAATTATAACAAAATTAATCTAATTCAAATATTAAAACTAAAAACTTTATTATAATAGATGACAGCTACGAGTCATATAAAACTTTTTACGAAAAGAATTTTCAAGAATTGTCATTCATTGGGAAGGGCGGGTACGGCCCCGTGTATAAAGTGGAGCATAAATTAGATGGTGATTATTATGCGATCAAGATTGTCGATTGCCTTGGTAATATATAAATATAATTTCTATTTATACAATTCAAATAAATGTTAATATACAATATTAGCAAGTTATGATGAAAGTAAACGAAAAGCCATATTAAACGAGGTTAAAAGTTTAGCAAAGGTGCGCTCTAAATACGTGGTAAAATACTATAACTCATGGCTGGGAGACAGTCGGCTGTATATACAGATGGAGTATTGCCCGCAAAGTCTTCGCAAAGTATTGACAGAAAAAGGGCTGGCATTTGGCAGACAATCGGCAGAAACAATGAATGCATACGAGTATTACATTTCGTGCGAAATATTCACAGAACTCCTTAATTGTGTACAATATTTGCATGAATTGAAGCCACAAATAATTCATCGTGATCTCAAACCAGAAAATGTGTTAATCGTATATAATTTAAATGTGACTAATTTCAACCAAGGGCGATTTATTAAACTAGGAGATTTTGGTTTGGCAACTGTGCATGATAGTAAAATACATTATAGAACAAGTAACAAACACTCCGCTGATGTTGGTGATTTAAGGTACCAGGCACCAGAAGTTGTGCATAAAAAATACGGTCATAAATGCGATATTTATAGTATGGGAAAAATTGGCGAAGAAATATTTGACTTAGACTTAAATTCTAGGTATGTTGCACTTAAAAATTATTTTAATAATTATTAGTTATTATAATTCCTCAAATGACTTGCAGTGTTTACAATCATTCCTCAAATAACGATGTGCTAAACTCACGTGTAATGTGTTTGCGTGGAATATTACAGCAAATGATGTCATACCCTGTTTGGGATAATAGGCAGGAGTGTTCGCAAGTATTGTCTAAATCTACCGAGTGGTCTATTGATAGGTTGGAAATTGTAAGCCAGGGCTCGGGTTTTGATAATTACTGCCAAAAGTCAAGAACAAACAGACATCTCATACTACCAAATGATCAAGAATTCAATCATGTATTAAACAAACTGAAAATAAATAACAATCCATTTTTTCATCACTTTTTATTGTGCAAAACACAAAATGTTAGTTTAGCATTATATGACTGTATTAGCCCGGGTGATAGTTATTTTAAAAATAATTTTACCGAGTTGACAACAATAGGGTTTGGTACAGTATGTAAAGTAAGACATAAGTCGGATGATAAAATATATGCTATTAAAAGAGTACAATATATAGGTAAATATAATTTTATTTAGAATATATAAAAACATGACAATGTTTTAATGATTTATTAAAACAGATTTAAGCGAACCAGATAAAAAGGAACTTATGACAAAAATGTCTACATTGACAAAATTAAACTTGGACTTTGTAGTAAAATATTATCACACCTGGTTTGAAAACAATTATCTATACATTCAATCGGATTATTATAAACAAACTCTGCGATCAATTATTATAGATAAGGCCATCGCATTCGGTCGACAACCGAACGACTCGCTTAGTGTATTTGAATATTACATATCGTGTGAAATATTCAAACAACTTTTACAGTGTGTTCAATATTTGCACGAATCAAACCCACCGATAATTCACCTTAATTTAAAACCTGAAAACATATTTATTAGTCCAAGCGTTGATAATACTTGTAGTATAAAATTGAGTGATTTTTGCCTTCCACTTGACATGTCAGTCGATATGGGTTACAACAGTCAAACCTCTGTTGGGTTTACATTAAAATATAAAGCACACGAAGTTTATATGGGCTTAACAATTTACCAATCAGACATTTATAGTCTAGCTATTATTGGATCTGAGTTATTTGGAATTGATCATGAAATGTACGTAGATTGCCAAATAATTCTGATAATTTTAAACATAATGTTAAATTAAATTCTAACAATTTAATTATCAATTTATTTTTTACATAGCTTATCTCCAATATCAGCATGTCAAATGATTGAATCAGAATTTGAAACACCAATACTATGTATAAAACACATACTTGTGGAAAATATGTCAAAATTTGATTGGAAACAAAGACCTGAGTGTCGGGAAGTGTTGGCCAAATATAATGAGTGGTCTATCGATAAAACCATTATAAATAATCATAAAGAATTCAATGCAACACGAAATAAATTAAAGTCAAATGACAACTCATTATATTATAAGTTGATTTCGTGTGAATCAGTAACTGATGAGACAACTCATAATGATTATGACAATTATAAAAAGTGTAAATCAAATTATGGTCGTAAAGACATACAATCGATGATCTCATCAAATAATAATTGGTATAATAATGTAAACTTTCAAAAAGATTATGGGTTTAATGATATGACAACTGCAAGCTTTTACGCATCCCAGTTCATCGAAATAGCAAAAATAGGTGTAGGCAGTTTTGGATCAGTATTTAAAGTAAAGCATAAATTGGATGATAAGATATATGCCGTTAAAACAGTACAATTTCCCGGTAAATATAGTATCAAACTGGTTTTCTATAAATTATTTAATGTTTACTAACCGTAGATTCAAATAAAGACAAACAACAGAGTATTCTCCAAGAAGTTAAAAGTATTGCAAAAATTAACTCAACTTTTGTTGTAAAATACAATAATTCATGGATTGAAGATAAGCAGTTGTACATTCAGATGGAGTACTGCTCGCAAACACTTGGGTCTGTACTCAGAGATAAACAACAAGTTTTTGGCAGAGAATCGATGGAAACCATGAATATTTACGAGTATTATATATGCTGTGAAATATTTCGGGAACTTTTAGAATGTGTTCGATATATACACGAATTAACCCCTTCAATCATTCACAGGGATATTAAACCCGACAATATATTTATTTTATATAATAGCAAGAAAAATAGCTTTCTAAAATTAGGTGATTTTGGTTTAGCCACTGAACACAAAACACAATCGCAGAGTCACACTCTAGGGATGGGAACACCACACTATATGGCACCCGAACACTTGTATACAAATAAATATAGCTTTAAAGTAGACATTTACAGCGTTGGAATTATTGGTCTAAAATTATTTGAAATGAACTTGATGTATGTATTTATAAAACACTAACAATTTTGCATAACAAACGTATTGTTTTACATAATAGGGACCAGGAAAATCATAATTTACCAATATATTCGGAGCCATTTCAAAATTTAAAAGAAATTCTGCTTTTAATGATTGAATCAAGCGTTGATAAAAGACCTACAAGTACTGCAATATTAAAAGACTATAAAATGTGGTCGATGGCAAATCAAATAATAACCGAAAACCTTACGGAATTTAACAGGATACTCAATCAACTTAAGCAAAATGACAACTCATTTTTCTACGAATTTTTCTATCATAAATTGTATGACAAATGATTTAATAAATATAAACTTTTACAATAAATACATAAATAAATAAGCGTAATAAATACCCTAAAATAGTGATTATTACATTCAAGTTACCTGATAAAAAAGTGTGTCTAGCAATTCATTTAAAAATATTTATACTTTGTGTTGGTGCGGGTTTTACCAGACTGCGGGTGAGAGTTAACTCACGGCATATAACGTGTTAATTTAAAATTGAAGCCATAATTTTGTTATATTTTTTTTATAATTAATCACCTCAGGTTCTTGATTTCAAATAATTTTTATGTACGAATATTTAATATTACATAAGTAACATTTATAACAAACATCCCAGGCCTAGAGGATGGGAGATGAATTCACAGTAATATGACTCTTTGTCTTATGGGGGATGACGCCCAAGAATTTCCAGTAATTCGAACGAACACTACAACACATCACATACCACTGACACGACACGCAACACGACATCGCTTACATCAACAGAAGAATATAAATATTTGTAATGTAATATGTATTGTATAAACATTATAAAAATCTGTGTAATTATATTGTACTAAAGAGCCTATGTAAAGAACATCACCGCCATATGGTGAATACTTGACTCTTTAAATAAAATATGATTTGAGTTGATTTGAACATGTAAAGCATTTAATTTTCAATATATAATTACTTTAACAATACGTAATTTATGTGAAAATTGCCGACCCGTATAATATTATTTTTAGCCGTTAAAATTTTTCAATGAATATATTGTTTATTTTAAATTAAATTTATGAACATTTTTTGAATTTTTCATTAAACAATGGAAATTTATTTTTACTTTTAAATTTCAATTGAAAGAGAGATTATTTTCGAATATTGCGCGTAATTTAATTGCCAGATTTCAATAATTTCACATTCTTTTACATTATTATTAATTTTGTTAATAATTTTGTTTAGTATTAGTAGTGTCATTTAAATGTCGCATGCTAACTTTAATAAGCCTGCGTCTGACCACTCTGAGTATCCATTCAATTTGCCTTGATACTCGAGTGAATGACATATTGTGTTTGTCCTTCAAAGGCATACACTGTCCGTTTTTATACACCATGTTTTCTGAATAGACGCCAATCAAAACTGCCACACCATTGTCAATGTACTGGATTAATGGCCCGCCATTGTCACCCTGGTAAAATAGTCACAAAACAAACATTAATATGCTATACGCATTGTATACTTTAGTTTAAATATAATAAGTTAACAAAAAAATAATAATGTATTAAAAAACAACCAAGAAGATATACCTCGCATTTGAACTCGCCCGCTTGAGATGGGTACCGCGTTGCCACTATTGTACGTCCCTTACCCGGTTTAAAAGGCTTAATCTTGGTCCAACCGACCATGGGCAGTCCATCAACATTGCCATAGCCAGCAAACAAGGCGTACTGACCGTCACGATTGATCTGGTTCATATCGGGCAAACACACGGGTCTGGCCAGAGTCATGGTTTCCTGGTCAAACACCATAGCCGTGTTCAGCTCGATTAGCCCGATGTCATACTTAGTGTTGTTAGTTCTGTCATATGACGTCATATAACACTTTACATTACAGTTATATGACATGTAAAGTGTAATATAAAAATTTTATATTACAAAAAGTGTAATATAGCTCTGGCGCCATCTATTAATTAGGCAATTATGATATTGTAATTAACGCGATTATTTCTAAAATTAATTGAAACACAATTAGAATAGCCCTATAAAAGCGTGTTTTGATAATCTATTGACAATATAAGTCGTAAATGTATTGTAAATTTAGCCATGATTGCTAAATTAGCATTATTCAAGCAAAATGTGTATTTTCTATATTACATCATGTGACGTTATATGACGTCATATGACTGTAACATGTAATATAAAATTTTATATTACATGTAATTTACATTACTAGTCATACTCCTTGTTAGCCTTGTCGGACGTTTCAAACATGGGGTGCACGTGTGTATCCTTGGCCTCGTAATACTGCGTGTGCTCCAAGTGTTTGCTGCTAAACGCGCTAGGGTAGATGCGCAGGTTGGCCACGGTGCAACGTAGCCCGCAACTTTATTTGAATGGGTGATCAGGTGTGTGTGAGAGTGATGTAAATGACATTATATTTTAGTTGAGCATTTTATAAAATAGAGTAATAACTACATACAGTAGAAAGATATCTAGATAAATAAAACTTACAATGTATTTTGACCGGCCGTTATAATCCAGCGCTCATTAAATATAGTCCCGGACGCTGAGAAATTGCTTTAAAATTAACAATGTTAATTCAATACATCAAATACTGTTAAATAATATATAAAGTTAAGTAATTAAGTTGTCACTTAATGTAATAAGCTAATAGTAAATATTTAATTTTAAAATAATAAAAACCATAAAATAATTACACTCCGTTTTGTGTTCCCGTAATGTATACAATCCACGGAACCTCTCCGGGAGCCGCGGGTCGACCCCGGCGTACGTTAGCCAACGCCTTGTTACTGGTGTGCCAACTGAAACACCCCTCTTCTAGTTTGTGGCCCATATGTGCCACTCCGCACCCGCTTATAGAAACACCAGGGTAATCTCTGATTGTACCGTGGCTTACCATCGTTACACTGGGAATGTGGGCTAAATTAACAAGGTAATTGTGTTTTATAATGTTAGTTTGCAATGGTGGTAGTTTATGGTTGTTGTTTATTATTACCGAGCGCGTTTAGCCAAATCAATATTAAAATAGTGTAGTTCATGTTGTTTAGTTAATTAATGTTTATTATAAATGACTGTAAACTATAAAATTTAATACAATTATTTTTGTTTAATTAATAATTTATAATATTATTAATTAATACAATAATTTTGTAATATAACCCGTTATTTAAAATGTACCTTTATAAAACAATATAAAATTACACTGTTATATAAAACCTCCAAAGGTTATTTTATCATATTATAATTAGCAAATAACAATAAGCATCACTGGTGCAATTAAATAAAACTTATATTGTTATATTTTAATAACACCATGCTCAATAAAATGGCGCTTAAGGGGCAAAAATTGATTAACATTTGTATTGTAAAGGCGTTTAACAATATCGCGATCCGGGAATTCCCGGCGAGTATCGGGACTCAGAAAAAGTAATATTGTAAACATACGGTAGACTAACATAAAAAACTTAAACTGATTCAGCATATAATCTGCCGTATTATACGGCTTAGTGGCCCACTTGGAACCATACAGTTGGACACTCTTCTGGCGATAGACCTGGATGAATTGTCTCATTGCCGGTTCGGCCGTAAACTCAATTTTATCATCAGCGGTTATTTCTACGGTGGGCATAAAAAACTGACCAAGATCGTAGCCACGGTTGCCATACGTGGAGAACTCAAAGTCAATTATCATTGCCTTCCCTCCCGGTGCCAACTCCTCCACCCCCTCCTCGTCGGTGACCATAATGTTATTGAACTTAAGGCCGTTGTGCGAGAAAACCAACGGTCCGTCAGACCACTGGCCACGGATGCAGTCAATCAGCCATTGAATCTCCGCTTTCAAGTTAAGGGTCGGGTCCCGGAGCTGACAGCCGTACTCGTGGAGCACAGTCTCCAGCATAGCGTTAACTTTATCGCCCGATTCGGTCAAAAACTGCTCAAAATAATTGCAAATCCAGTCCCGATCCCGACCTACCGGTGCGTTGAGGGCGTGAAATCTAGCCAATTGTCGGGCCAACCCAGCCATCAATCGCTCGTCATTGATGTCACTTTTAGCAAAGATCCGGTGCTTATAATACCGGAGCACTTCGCCGTCGGGGTCGAGTCCGTACACATGAGGGCCTAACCCGTTGTGAGAGGTTAGGGACATCACAATCGGGTCGGTGAATCGGGGTTGGGTCTGGTGACCGATCTTAAAATCATATTTCCAGCCGTAGTATTTGACAATTACTTCCCGGGGCTGCGGCTCATCGTAAGCATCGCCGGCTATCGGAGCCGCCGGTGATGTCAGTTGACATAAGTATAGATGATTAGTGCGTCCGCCAGACACGGGCCGCACCCGTACGTCAGCGCCGGTCGCTGTCAACCAAATGCCGGCCAAATAGCGTCGGCATAATTGTATGCACTTATCGTTGATATCGTCGGAACCGCTGTATATTTTTGTGGCTGATGTTTGTGTCGGTTCGCCAAAATTGTTTGCCTGCTCAGTCATTATAATTATTGTAGAATGTAGCTTGGCCAGTTAATTAAGGTGATATTTGCAGTTATAGCAATGCAATTATTATAAATTTACAGATGGTAATATTTACATGGCAGATGTTTTTTTCTATTTGGTAATTGATTATTAATTTTTTGACATTGTATTTTACTCTAGAAATATAGACTATTATTATCTAGATTTTATAAATGAATAAATATTGTATTAAAATATCTTATGCATATTTAAACTGCCTATCACAACTCTCTCTCTCTCTCTCCTACAGTCCAACTCACTCTCTCTCGCACATAACCCATACCTTATCCCCGTGTATGATAAGAAAGGGACACTTAATCCGGTCGTAGCGCCCATTAAGTGGTCCGACGGGAAAGTTGTGGCCATAATTGGCGCTAAAGAGTACGTGTTGTCGCCAAAGACGGTGCAACTCGTGCTCTGTGTAGGCGCGCAGATAGGGCTCAGCCATAGCCATAGGGAACTTGTCGTACGTTTTGGTCATGAGTGCTGTCTGTGGGTCGAGATCTAGTCGGGGCAATACCGCTGCGGCCAATGCCACCAACGAGACAACAGCCTCGGGATGTCTGGCCGCCAGCACCAGACCTACTTTGGCCCCCTCTGACCAGCCCAACACTGGGAACCTTTCGTAGCCCAGACTCTGTATATAACAATTGTATTATTTTATGAGTTATAAGGTTGGGTCACCGGCAGTGGTGTGTGAGTCGTACCCGCATTAGTTGAAGGCAATGGTCGGCGTCGTTGTTGTAACGGTTGCGCGACATGTCTCGGGCCGGCGGTCGCGATCGGCCCCAACCGAGCAGTTCGGGTGCGACCACAGTATAGACACTCATATCGAGCCGGTGTTCGCCGAATAGGTGTTCGTAAAAGTCTGTCCGTCCGGTGCCTGCGGTCACACATATTGTATAAATAAATGTGTCTTTGATTATAGCGTTGACACTAACCTAAACCCCCGGGTATTAACAGCAATGGTTTGGGACCCGAACCGAACTTTTCGTACCACAAGTGGTGGCCATTCAGTGATATGTTGTCGGCGACGGCGGCGACAGTGTCTTCGGATGCGGACATGATTTGCTACAACCAAGTGATGAATGATTTATTGCTGGATGTGCTAAATGTTTGTGTGAATTTTGCGTTAAACGGTTTGAATCGCCGCACAATTGTGTGGTATTTGAGGACTCGTTGACTGATTTTACCGGTGCTGTGGCTTCGGATATGACTACTGCTCTCATCAATGATAGCTAATAATATCTAATTTTATTCGGGAATTCCCAAAAAATAAAATCCCTAGTTATCAAATATCTACAATTATTGTTTTAATTGTTATTATATTTATAGCAATATTCTGAATAAATGGTAATAAAACAGGAAACTAGCAATATAAATAATTAGTTTGTCTCTTACAGTAATAAAAATAATTTTTAATAATGTTTTATTATATATTTTAATAAATTATTAGATATTATATATAATTAAACATCAATTAATAATTATAAATTCTTATATCACTTCTTATCCTAACTTTTATGGCATTTGGGATTTCGTTACATCTTTTAATGAAATACATTTATTTCTGGAAATATTTTTATTTAATGATTGTTTACAGAAATTGCATTCATTTTTGTCATCAAATTCGGTGATATATTTCCGAAATATACTTTTTTTATTCAGCATTTTTGAGGAAAATGAGTGTTTTGCCAAAAACACGTGAATATTGTTTTTATTTAGTCATTTATTTAACGTTTATTTAGATGTTGCTAATATACAGTGGTTGAAAAATTAGCTTAAATATTCAGCGAGACCCCTAAACGTTCCCTAAATTTAGGGCTAAATTTAGCCCTAAACGTTTCTAAATTTTCATCACTAACATCTCTAGTTATAATAATACTGTATTTTCTAGGAGTTAAGTTTTTTGAGACCAACCAATTATCAACATTTCCCATAGACCTAACACTAAATAATGTAAAACATATTTTAATAATTGGCCTAAAATACAAGGAAACCTTATTACAAAGTAATTTTAATTAATCATTGCAATCATTTACTTGCAAATAGTAAAAAAATTTCCCCTTAAATTAATACTTAGTTTTATTAATTTGATTTGAATTTAACTTTTGGGTAATTACTTTTGATTGATTTACATGGGATCCAGCGGTTAAATAATTATAATTTGTACTGTAGATGGTGAGCTGACCCCCTCTATGACTGTGAATAGATTTACTGTTGAATTCCTCTAATATTGAATTGGCAATAATTTAATTAAATTTTGTAATTAAATGCTTAATATTATGATATAAAGAGGTGTTCAATATATCTTGCGCGTCGCGTTATTTGAATATCTTTAAAAATATAAGAGATAATTAAATTCTGTAAAAAGAATATAATAGTGCCATATACCTAGTTTTTTTTACATATCCTATTGCCCGATTGCCCTATTGACACCTGTGGATCACGTGGTTTTCTTAATAACCTATACATTCTAAATCACTATGTTACTTTTCAAACTATACGAGGTATAAAGATGGTTTCAATACAAAATTTGTTAAGCGATAATTGCTGCGTACAATGAAAAAAGAATTCTTAAAATCGGGCCAGTACTTTAGTTTTTATGGCCCTAAATGCCGTAATTTTGGGGGAAAATTGATAAAACATTGAAATTGTTTTAAGATAATGTACTATTTTGACCAGTAGAACGATGAATACTAGATGGATTACCACTACCCATAGGTTTAACATTGTTTTATGTATAACATAAGCCCATAATATTAGGATTGCCGCAGACTTAATTTTATTCATATATTTGACTGGCCATGGCCCTGGGCCAAGTTATCATTAGTACATAGGATAACATTACAGTATACTCGACTTGTTTAAGTCATAAAAACTAAAGTACTGGCCCGATTTAAAAAAATTTCATTGTACGCAGCAATTATCGCTTAACAAATTTTGTATTGAAACCATCTCTATACCTCGTATAGTTTGAAAAATAACATAGTGATTTAGAATGTATAGGTTATTAAGAAAACCACGTGACCCACATCGGGCAATAGGGTATGTAAATAAACTAGGTATATGGCACTATTATATTCTTTTTACAGAATTTAATTATCTCTTGTAGTTTAAAAGATATTCCAATAACGCGACGCGCAAGATATATTGAACGCCTCTGTACGTTAAACGCATGTAAAGCAGCTTGGGTCTATGACATTTGCTCGAAGGACATTTGCTCGAAAGACATTTCCTCGAAAATATTTGCTCGAAAGACACTTGCTCGAAAAAATTAACTTAAATTGTAAAATTAACTTGTTAAACCTAACCTAACTTAACCAAACTAACCTAAACTAACTAATATACTCTTATTTAATAATATTATTTGTAATATTTACTAATTTAATGTATTTAAAGCAAATTAAATTAAAAATTTTCGAGCAAATGTCTTTCGAACAAGTGTCATTCGAGCAAATGTCTTTCGAGCAAATGTCCTTCGAGCAAATGTTTTCGAGCAAATGTCTGCTTCCCAAGCAGCTTTATAGAGCATTATATTTTTAATTAGACATTACAAACTGTTTTTTAATTTTACTTGTATTGTGTTGTATACAATATAATCTGTTGTCTTAAACTAAAATGACAAAAGTATTATTATTGATAGTATTGACGCAAGTGATTGCGCTGTCGGATGGGTATTTTAAACCGGATTTAATATTTAGTCCAGTAAAACAACTAGCTGAGTCTGCCTCATTAAATCCGGTGAAACAACTGGCTAATTCTACCATATTAAATCCAGACTTAAATCAACTTGCACCACTTTCAATCATTAAGTCTTTCAACCCATTGTCAGTGTTGTTTGAGTCCAATTCAATATACATTAAGACTAAAAAGCTATTTGTGTCCGAATACTATCCCTCGGAGTTTTTCGCCACCGGATATACGCATAACTTTGGGTTCTCAAAATCGGGTCAACCCGTTTACGGTCAAGTAAGCCGTTGTATGCGTTTGACTAATAACAGAGCTCTCGACAGATTGTACAGGCAATTTATTGTGCACATATACGCTGATTTTATTCGCAAAAATAAAAATGGCCTGATATATCACAGTTTCTTGAATACAACACTTGAAAATGTTATATTATGTGAGCATGATTAAGTACAATCACATACAGTATATTGTAGTACAATTAATTTGCCTATTTATTAATTTTGTTTCAAACATAATAGCTTCTGCTTACGATTTGGCCGTTTTGGCTAATAAACAATTTAGAAATCAATCGGCCATTGTATACAATGAGGATCCGATATTTTCAACCATAATTAATTTTGGTGTACAATTTTTTGACCCTAATATTCGTAATCGAATCGGAGTCAAGCATATAGAGGACGAAGAGTTGCTAAGTCTGGATGCGGTTCCGGTCTATGCGGGCGGAAGAAACACCAGTTATCACAGAATACCAGCTCTGGTTAAAAGTGGCACATGTTTACCACATCTCAATATATCCAGAAGTGATTGGAATTTGTTTATTGACACTAATATCAAGTGTATTGAAGAGGGGAAACCCCGGGATCAACCTATCGATCAGTATCTTAAGACTTGCAAAACCCAACCAAAGCCAAAACCAAAACAATCCCAAACAAAAAACAAAACCAAAACAAACCCAAACAAAACAAAACCAAAACAAACCCAAACAAAACAAAACCAAAACAAACCAAAACAAAACCAAAACAAACCAAAACAAAACCAAAACAAACCCAAACAAAACAAAACCAAAACAAACCCAAACAAAAAACAAATTCAAAACCAAAACAAAAAACAACCCCAAAACCAAAACAAAAAACAACCCCAAAACCAAAACAAAAAACAACCCCAAAACCAAAACAAAAAACAACCCCAAAACCAAAACAAAAAACAACCCCAAAACCAAAACAAAAAACANCAAAACCAAAACAAAAAACAACCCCAAAACCAAAACAAAAAACAACCCCAAAACCAAAACAAAAAACAACCCCAAAACCAAAACAAAAAACAACCCCAAAACCAAAACAAACCCAAACAAAACAATTCAGAACCAAAACAATCCGTAACAAAAAACAAACCCAAACAAAAAACAGATCCAAAACCAAAACAACCCCAACTTAAAAACTAACCCAAAACCAAAATAAACAAAAAAAAACCACACTAAATTTAAAACTAAAAACACCGAAAAATCAAAATTATAATTTTTTCAATTACTTGTAAAAAATGATTGCTAACTTAATTAATAATTAAATATATTTTAATTATATGTATATCGAACAATAAATAAAAAACTTAAAATGATTTCTAATTAATTATAACATTTTAAAATTTTCCAAAATGCTTTCAATGATAATTTTCTAAATCTACCATTTAAATTATTATATTTGCATTCAATGTATAATTTTAAATTGCAATAAATAAAATTCTTTTTAAAATATAAAACATGCAAACGATTTATTTAATTAGATCAACTATTATTTGGTTTAAATTGTGTTATTTTATTTTTTATTAGGGTATTACGTCGTATATAGGTGCTTCACTTATATGTGAGTTTTCACACAAGGGGTGCACCTATATCCGGATATTAGTGCGGTATTTTTTCACACATTTTTATATTTCAATTTAATTTTTTCTTATATACAATATTATACCTTATGATAAAAGATAAAACCCAAGTTTGTTTTATGATGATTAGTTAAAATGTGAGTAATTTTGTGGTTCAAACCTGAGGAATAGGTGTAGTCTTTCGGAACATTCGCCGAAAACCATCACAAGAAACTAAAACAGGAAACTATAAATAATTAGTTTGTCTCTTACAGTAATAAAAATAATTTTTAATTATGATGTTTTATTATATATTTTATTAGATAATAAAGGCATTAAAAATTGTTTAAAATATAAATAATTTTTATTATATATAATTAAACATCAATTAATATTTATAAATTTCTGTGAATTTTGTGTTATTTTTTTAAAATTCTATGTATGAGTCCATCCCTGAAATAAGTGTTAATCATCACATCCTTTGCCAACCCGTTAGCCAAAGCGCAGGCAATATTTGTATAAATTATAATAAACCAGGAAAATATTTTTAATTAGCTGTCGCATAGATAGTGATCATCATCATTTTTCAATAAATCGTACGATATAATTAAGTAATTATTTTTATCAACCAAAATTTTGCTAAAGTCTACAAAATCACCTTATACATTAATTGATTCAA